TTTGAGCATATATATATATATTTGAGCATATATATTTGAGCAAACCCCATGTCCTTGTCCATATACTATATATATATATATATCAATGTATTTGATTCAATACTGGACCCAATCAATATAAACGACCTCCAGATGACGTCAGGTGTGTGAATAGGTCTCACTGTACGACCGCAACGTTGTTCGCCCCAACACGATCATTGGCACCTACCAATTCGACGTCATGTCCATCTACTGCCGGGTACGATATAGCAATATACGCAAGTTCAACTAACCAATAAACCTATCGAAGACTTATAGATGAAACGATTTTCGTCATTCTCATGTGCTATACATGAAAATTTTTAAAAATAATTATAGTACCATTCTCATATATATATATCTGTCGTCTATGTACGTAGCCGAAACGAGAAATCTATCGGCAATGGGTCGCACTGGTCGACTACAAGAGCAAACAAGACAGCGGCATCCAGGTACAGTTTGCCCCTTGTGTCATCATCACTTCAAACCCTTGCTGTTCATCTCGTCCATAAAGTCGATACAAAACTTGTTCATATATTCTTTCTATATCGATTTGGAATCGCCTCGTGTTTATTCGGATGGGTTTGCTCCAGGGGTTTCTCTTGCTGAGTTTGGCCATGGCGGGACCAGGCGAGTCCTTTCCCGTACACGACCTCACGAGTCTGTCGACGGCCGTCGAGTCGCCGGCCATGCTGCTGCTTCCGCCCACCGTGGAGCAGCATGTGCACTTTCTCGTCGTAACCGTGTACGTTGCCGAAGACGTGCCGCCCATGGACGTGCACACGCTGTCGCCGGCGGGCATCGGCATTGACGCGTTTGTTCGCGTCGATTTTGCCGGGAATCGCAAGTGCAAATCGAGTGTGGTGACGGTGAAAGGCACGAGTAATCTGTCGGTCCCGTTCTTCGAGGAGCTGTGGATTCCAGTGATGATGCCCACTATGAGCCGTCGGATCACCATCAGCCTCCGCGACCGCGAGTTTGGCCGGTCCAGCGACGTCGTCGGCACATTTGCACATGATTTCCAAGCTGTGCCACTAGTCACGCACGACCTCGCCGACCCCACCAACCTCGTGTACTTACGGTGCGATTCATTATTGTGGTAGCCTTGCCGTTTGGCATCGTATATATTTGCATGGGGTATATATATATATATATATTGTGCTTTTGAGTGAAATTTCGTGTTGTGGCGTGGTTTCTCGTTGGAATTTAAATCGATTTGATTGGCTACCTCAGATGAGCTCAAAATTATTAGCCAATCAAAACCTTCTCAATGAAATTCAACAACCAATCAGATCGATTGATGGATCGGTTTGGTCGGCGCGATTCGATTGCACCCCCCCCCCCTCCCCAAATTTGTATCAAATCGACAATATATATATATATATACTACGTAGTATATATATCGTTGGTGGACGATGCTTAGATGGTTGCATCTTTCTCGCTGATGGTGTATCGCTTGGCATCTACCAGTAGTTTTACATCTACAATGTTTGGTGACATTTGTCTGTATGATTTGCCATTGAATATATATGATATATATATATGGCCGCCTCGACACTTCAATATATATATATATATATAGACGCCTCGACACTTGCATATAAATGTATATATATATATATATATATGGATGCCTTTAAGCATTCACACTCGATATCACCAAAATTGCTTATACTTCTTGCATATGTCATCTTCAACTTCCCCGCCATCGCATAGTGCTCACCTCAAACGTCTGATATGACAGCGAGGTGCCGCTTCGATACATCAACCTGTACGGCCCGCCGCTAAAGCACGCGGACGCGAAAGCCGGCGACATGATGAAGCGGTATCCGGACCACGCCTCCACGTACCGCGGCCGCCTCCTCGTGAGTTTTGCCCACGTGTCGCAGCCGAATCCGGACGACAGCGACCGCTTCGTCGTCAAAGAAGTCGAAGACGAGGACTGGGAGGCACTTAAACCCCCTTTGACGCGCTATGTGCTGCGTCTGAGTCTGCTCGCGGGGCAGGATTTGCCCTCGGTACGGGCCAAAACGGGTCTCCCCGCTCGTTTGTTTGTCGTGGTGGCCATCGGACCCCATGAGCTGCGCTTTGAAGCCAACGCCGCCAAGTACTTACGTGCTGCTTGTCCTCCTCTTCCTTGTTGTTGTTGTTGTATGTAGTATATATATCGTTGGTGGACGATGCTTAGATGGTTGCATCTTTCTCGCTGATGGTGTATCGCTTGGCATCTACCAGTAGTTTTACATCTACAATGTTTGGTGACATTTGTCTGTATGATTTGCCATTGAATATATATGATATATATATATGGCCGCCTCGACACTTCAATATATATAGACGCCTCGACACTTGCATATAAATGTATATATATATATATATATATATGGATGCCTTTAAGCATTCACACTCGATATCACCAAAATTGCTTATACTTCTTGCATATGTCATCTTCAACTTCCCCGCCATCGCATAGTGCTCACCTCAAACGTCTGATATGACAGCGAGGTGCCGCTTCGATACATCAACCTGTACGGCCCGCCGCTAAAGCACGCGGACGCGAAAGCCGGCGACATGATGAAGCGGTATCCGGACCACGCCTCCACGTACCGCGGCCGCCTCCTCGTGAGTTTTGCCCACGTGTCGCAGCCGAATCCGGACGACAGCGACCGCTTCATCGTCAAAGAAGTCGAAGACGAGGACTGGGAGGCACTTAAACCCCCTTTGACACGCTATGTGCTGCGTCTGAGTCTGCTCGCGGGGCAGGATTTGCCCTCGGTACGGGCCAAAACGGGTCTCCCCGCTCGTTTGTTTGTCGTGGTGGCCATCGGACCCCATGAGCTGCGCTTTGAAGCCAACGCCGCCAAGTACTTACGTGCTGCTTGTCCTCCTCTTCCTTGTTGTTGTTGTTGTATATATATATATGCGAGAACGAATTAATCAACGAGGTTGTGTGTGGCGGATTGTAGGAACGGCAGCATTGTGTGGGGGCTGACCCAGGAGATGAAAAATATTGTGCTCGCGTCCGACTTGACCCAAGTCCCAGATATAATTGTCACGCTGTGCAAAGAAACATCCGACACGGACGACCCCGTGGGCGTGTCGTTTGCGCGTCTTCGGGCGGGGGATGTCGTCGCGCGGGGCATGGAGCCGGCTGTGACGTGGCTACACCTGCGCCAAGAAATCTGCCGCAAAGGAAGCATCCCCGTCGGACAGCACCCGGGGTCGCTTTTGCTGCGTATGGCGTTTGCAAGGGAAGAAGTCGCGGCGAGGCAAGTCTGGGCGAACGACGCGAGTTTGGTTACACCCACGATTCCAGCTCTGGTACACGCCGTCAATCTAATATATATATGTACATAATATATTACATACCTGAATATATGGAATATAAAGATGTATATAGGAATTGGCACATGCACACTGTATATACGTGTCTTGATGTGGAACGTCCAATATATTATATATAGTATGGATTGATCGTTTCGAGCGCTATTTGGGGATTGAGATTCGAAGAGTGATATAAAATCGAATATTATGTACAAAACCCAAGCAAGTATATTATGATTGGTGGGACTAGTGGTTCTTTGGAACTTGATTGGTCTATTGAAAAGGTGTGTTGATTCGTCGATCGATTCTCGGCCGATTTTTATTCACAATGCATTGACCACTCCAAATTCGAAGCACTTTCTTCACAAGGCTACTACGTAGTACTGTAGTACTAGTATACAGTATATATGTGGAACCATTCGATGGCTGCTTTTCACGACTCGAGTTGGGGAGACGTTCGACACATGATTATCTTATTAGCGCGCAATGAATAATAATTTAAAAAAATGTTTATCTAATTTAATAATCTATTTTATTTTAAATTTAATTCTACCCACATTTCAAAATAATAATTAATTTTTTTTATCTAATTGTATAATTTTGGGACGTAGGTTCGGGTGCACATTTTTCAATGCAAAGGGCTGGTGGTGGACGATTTAAAATCCAAAGGCACGTTGCCAGACCCGTTGGTCCAAGTGCATTTCAACGGCGTGACCAGGAAGACCAAGCCCCGCAGCCGGACGCTGGACCCTCTATATTACGAATCGCTTCAATTTGACACGACGATTCCTGCCAAGGCCGAATACGCTGGGGAGGTGTGGATTCAGGTATGTATAGATAGTATTGTCTTTGTTTTACCCCAAGATTCTTGGTTGACTTTTGTGCTGATTCACCAAATCTATCGATCGATTCTTTATTGTATGTACAGTGTGGTCGTTGTAGTCACACTAATTTAAGTCATACACTATTTAAACGTTGACGCGAGTTTCCTGCAAACTGATTGGCTCGATACTTTTGCCGATGATTCTTGTGTCGTCCATTTGGTTGTGTCGATGTTCATTATTCTCCATGTCGATCCAGTTTAGAAGAAACACAGTACAATATGACGCTGTATTGTTTAGTCCAGGATGTTGTGGTGGCTGTTTTGATGATATTGGACACGTACGTACCTGCGTAGGTGGTTAATAAAATCGGGTTCAACACTGTCAAATACATGGGCGAGTACCGCGTGCCGCTGGCCAAGTGCACCAAGGCATCGACGGTGCCGTACCCGTCGTGGGTGCCGCTGACCAAGTCGGACTTGATGGACGATGCCGTGGCCGCGGGTCAGCTGCTCGTGTCGGTCCAGATCATCGAGCACCCCACGGCCGAAGATCGGACGGCAGCATTGCCGTCGATCGTGCCAGAGTGCCGCGAAGCGTACGTCGACATCATCGCGCTCGGTGTGCGCAATCTCAAAAATAACAACTTGCTACACATTCAAGTACGTTGCAAATATGTGGGATGTTATACAATAATGTTGGCGAGAATCATATATGGTGCGTGACATGAATATATATGTCTAGATATATGTTTATATACTACCAGTAGTGTAGTAGTATATGGATTTGGTACGAATTTAATATCGCATACACGGATCCCGAATCGCTCCCATTGGTCAATCTGAAAATGCTTGTCGCTGATTGGCTACATTATTATGATTATTTGACCTGTGGAATCGGACACCCACAGATTTGGGATATACATCTGAATCGGGCTGAATTGTTGCGAACATATTTGGACCACCAAATAATACTTTCTACCCTCCTTTTGACACCAAACACAACCGCAGTCTCATGTTGTGTGTATAGAATCCGTTTGTCGAGTTTGAACTCACGGGATTGAACTCGACGAGCGGGGAAAATAATATCCAACGACGCACCAAGGCGAGCCATGAACCCACGAGCAAAAATGCCAACTTTCTCGAGCGCCTGGTCATCCCCACCCGACTCCCCATCGACATTTTGTTTGCGCCTCAATTGGTGCTCAAGGTACGCTTGACATAAGAACAGATCACGGCCTGATTCATATGACGGGTACAGGTGTACGACAGCACTTTGGCAGGGCTCCACCAGCCTCTCATAGCTTCGTGTGTGATCGACTTGACCCTCAAGCTCCCGTGGAGTCCGAGCTACGAGCCACCGCAACAACAGGCGTTTGATTACCACATCGACGCAGCCAAGAAGCGCAGCAAGCAAAGGCGGGTGGTCCAACCGAAAGCCGAAACGCCAGCCATCGAGGTGGCATCATCTAATGGAGACAGCAAACACGAGAAACATGCGACAGCGGGTACTAAACACGAGGTCTCACATTCAGTGTTACATGTAGTCACTCGACTGATAACTAGATGCAGAACCTACCGGCAACAACGATCTCGACGACGACGACGATAATGGCGACAGCCACCCGTCGCGCCACCGTGTCGCAGACTCGGACGATGAAGATGGCAATGTAACTGCTGTATATATATATATATATATATATGATTGACACACGAATGATATTTTGTTGACGATAGCTCGTGGACGAGATATTACCCCCAGAAACCCACGACGACGACGGCACGGGCATCGGGGTGCTGGCGTTACCAGCCGTGTCGTTTGAAGCCACGGACGAGTCCAAGCAAGACCCGGCGGTGCTCTACCAAGTCCAGCAAGCGCACGATCGCCGGTTGTTTGCGTCTGTCCAAGATGCCAAGAAAAAAGGACAAGTGTACTTTGTGTCAGACCCAAATGCAATGGTTGCGTCTAGCTTCACCAGCCCGGACGACGAAGCCCATGCTCTCGACAGCCCAGCGTACTATGCTGGGCGCGACTGGTGGCTCAAGGTACCCTAACGACTAGAGCTAGTCCTTGTGCATAATCCACAGTATCGCATACCGATTACAAAATATCTCACGTATCGCATTTAGATTGCAAAATACATTGCAGTGTGTTGAAATTGCTCGTCCACCATGTTGTGTGTGTATTTGCAACACGACTCTGTAGTTACCTGAACGATATCGTTTTCAATCGCGATATGGAGTGTGTCGATGCCGCCTTGACTTTTTACATGGACATGTGACTCGTTGAAACGCTGGCTCCATGTTTGCCTATATATATATATATAAATGTGATAATGATTGACGTTCTGCTGCATGTAGTTGGAAGGCGAAGAGCTCGAGGATTTTCTCAAAACGGCGCCGTTCGAGTCTTACGCGCTGTTTCGCGCGCACACGATGATTCCGTCGTTTTTTCGCAAAAAGAAGACCAAAGTGCAGGTGCAGACAGGCATTTTCAAGGGGCTCGTGGTCGTCACGCTCAAGCCGCAAAAGACCAACCCGCTGATCGACTTTGTGTCCCTCACCGACCCCCAGCCGTACGAAGTGCGCGTGTACGTCCTCAAAGCAGCCAACTTGCAGCCCAAAGACCGCAACGGACTCAGCGACCCGTACTTGAGGCTCACGCTGGGCAAAACCAAAGTGAATGGACGCGCCGCGTACAAAAAGAAGACGCTCCACCCAGACTTTTACAAGTGCTACGTGTTCGATACGACTATTCCAGGTATATATATATATATATGTCTGTAATGTATATAAATATATATATTTATATGTATGTAATGTATATATATTTAAATGTATGTAATGTATATATATATATAATATATATATAGTGTTTGACGCACAACTTATAATTTGTTTCTCCCGTGGCGGTTGGTTCCATGAGATATCGCCGGACCTGTGAAACATGATGATATATATAGATCGAAGTTTCAGAGGCGACTCTTTGTTCGTTTTAGCCAATCATACTGCAACCTTCATTCTTTTTAACCAATCATAATGCTTTCCTCAATTTATTGGTGATTTCAACAATCCCCCAACATTGGAAAAGAAGCAATATATATGCAAGAGGCCGATGTGACAGGAGGAATCCCGCCAAATTATATGGTCAATATATTCAGAAACCAATAACGTGGCAATATATATATGTAGGGCCGTCGCAGTTGGCGATTCAAGTGTGGGACTACGATCGAATGGGCACCGACGACTTTATAGGGGAAACCGTCATTGACTTGGAAGACCGATGGTACCACAGCATGTGGCAGGACATTGGATTCAAACACCCTCAAGTACTATATATTTACTATATATATATATATATTGAAAGCAAGAGTATATATATATATACAATGGTTTGGTGGTTTATGTTGCTAGTTGGACGGATCGGGCATCTTGAAACCGATTGAACACCGACATTTGTGGACGGGCAAAGAGTCGACGTCGCAGGTACGATTTTCTTGATATATATATCTTTGATTTGCTCATATATATGTATACGAAATAATAGGGGTCGTTGCAATTGTGGGTGGATATTCTCACACCTGCTCAAGCCGCGTTGTACGAACCGGTCAACATCGAGCCGCCTCCGCCGCAGAAATTTGAAGTCCGCGTCGTGATCTGGCGGTCCGAAGGCGTGACCGACCGTGATGTACGACCTATGACGACCGTAGTTTCCAAATGGACGTTTCACTCACTCATACATCAAATTTGGTTGACTTGTGTGCTGAATCGCCAACTCTATCGATATCGATTCTTTGTACTGAACTTTGTATGTAAAAAGGGGTCCTGTGGTGATTTGTATCACACTAATTGAAGGCAAACACTAATTTGACTGTGTTGATGGTTTCCTGCAATTTGATTGGCTAAATCCTTCAGCCCAATCTTCTTCTGTATTATATTTGGTTGTGTCGATTCATTCGCACATGTCACTCGAGTTTAGAATAAGCACACGACAATATTGTCGATTTGATAGTACAAATTTGGGTGCAATCGAATCGCGCCGCCCAAACCGATCCACAATCGATCTGATTGGTTGAATTGCATTGAGAAAGTTTTGATTGGCTAATCATTTTGAGGTCATCTGAGGTAGCCAATCAAAAATCGATTTAAATTCCAACGAGAAACCACAACACGAAATTTCACTCGAAAGCACAATATCTTTGTTGTTGTAGATGAACACGATGAACGATCTGTTTGTGAAAGCGTGGATGGAAGGCACAAAACCACAAACTACTGACACGCACTGGCGGTGCTCCACGGGAAAAGGCAGCTGGAACTACCGGCTCAAGTTTACAGTGCAAATGCCCATGAAACCAGAGTACGGCCGGCTCACGATTCAATTGTGGGACAAGGATTTGGCCAAGTGGAACGATCTTATTGGTACGATTTACAACCGACTTTGTGTTTATACGAGACGTATCTAAAGTTAACCAAAGGTTTGGTTTAATTTGGGCATTTGGGTTTATTATATCGATTTTTTACGAGGAAAGTTACGGTGTCTGTGGGAGGTTTTCTTCTGTAAAACAAACATTTTTTTAAATCACTGTTTATATATGACGATATATGTCTTGCATAGGCGAATCGCAGCTAGATTTGTACAAGTGGATCCACAAAGCGTTCCATGAAAAGCGCACGGTGCGGCCGTTCAAAGAGCAAAACACGGGCAAAAAAGGCGGATTCTTGGCCCAGGTAATATATATATACTTGTCATGACAATACTATTGGAATGCAATAAAAACACTATTCTTGACGACGATTACGACTATATTGGATAGTATATATTAAAAACTAGGTTTTTGGATTGGTGGATTTGATGTGTTCGAGTAGAACGAAGAAGATGAGAGCAGCGACGATGAAGACGACGATAACGAAGGCGACCACGGTCCCGACTTGGAAAACAACAACAGCGAGCAACACAAACCCCTGCTGGACTCGAAGAAAAAGAAATTACACTCAAAACTCAAGAAAAAGATCACCAACGTGCTCAAAAAGGTGAAACGGCGCAAGCAAACACTCACGCCGGACGAGCGCCAACGGCGGAAAGCGGAAAAAGAGTCCAACGACAAGGACGAAGCATTCCAGTCGATCCTGGTAAGTCCCTTGTGTCACCTTGGGTTTGGCGTGTATGGTGATGTGTGGAATCCAATTTGAGCTATATATATATATCAAGGTTTGGAATCAATCTATGTATTGAAGAATATGCATGTACAAATAAATATATACCCTTCAAGATATATTATATATGCTTCAATATGTATTGATTATAAACCGTTTTGTATCATTATATATATATATATAAATTTTGATACATATATTTATGTATATATATATATATTCTTCAAAATAAATATTGATTCCAAATCGTGTTGTATCATAGGATATGCTGGGCATGGGCCGACTGTCAGATGACTCGGACTGGCTCGAAATGCGATACACGAACCGGGAAGCGGGCATCTCCGAGTCCATGGTACCAATTCCAATCAAGTTGAAATCACATCAGCCGAGAAAGAATAATATTATTTATGAAGACTAAAGAATTATATTATGTATTCATATTATTTTTTGGTAGGGCAAATTGGGGGTGTGTATTCACATCGTCCCTGAAGCCGAGTACTTGGCGACGCCAGTGGGGTCTGGCCGCGACGAGCCCAACATCAATCCGTACCTTCCCCCCACCGTGGGGCGTATTCGATTCAGTGCGAATCCGTTTTCGATGCTAAAAGAACTGGTAATGACGCATAAAAAATATATATTTATGACCGTACTAGTCTGCTCGTGGTCACTTATTATGTTTATTTTTCTATAGCTGGGGCCAGAATTGTGTGGCAAATTGGCGTGTTTTGTGTGCTGTGCAGGGTGTCTCAGTTTCATGGCGTTGTTCGGGGCGAGCATCATGAGCACGCTGACATTTTACCAACAGCTGCAGAACCAAAAGGACAAATTGTAACATACCATAACATACTGGGAAAAGTACAAACCTTGTGGATACTATACAGTATACTAGTATTATGCAAAACCAACATTTGTGTGGTTTTTTATGATTGGGCAAACAAGCTCAGAAAGTCCTACCAGGTCATCGTTAGTTCACTTTAGAATCACTCTATATATATATATATGCATACCACACCCAACGACGTGCGCAACGAACTCGACTCGGGGGGTGCTGGGGGGGTTGTCGTCGCCGAAAAGTTAAAGTCGTCGAGCTTCAAGTCGTCCGTGGTAGCCGTGTTGACACCTTCGGAATTCGTTTCAGGACCTCCGTCGCTACCACACTTTAGTTGGACTTGCAACCATTTAATTTCGACGACATGTAGTTAGTACCCCCCGGCACTGGACGTGGTAGCCACGAGCCATTCAGGCAACTGGGCGGCCAACGTGTTTTCAAAAAACGGATGGGGCTCGTCCTTGAGCCATTGCGGTGGCCTACCGAATATGACATTTTCACACGACTTAATAGTCTTCATTCTTAAAGTACCCGTGGATGGACCCTCCTCTTTGAAGCATCGAGCTGTGACGACGGTCTAGGGCACTAGTCTACATATACATATATACAACAGACAGCATGAGACACATATCGTCACCGGCGGTCCCCCCCTACCTTGACCACGACGGGGTCTTCGGCCCGGGATTGCAACGTGCGACGCATCTCGTCGTACGCCGCGGATGGCGGCGCGGCGGCACTGGGGGTGCGGTACCGCCGGCTATGGCTGCTTGCGTTGGACTGGTTACTGTTGTTGCGGGGGTTGTTGTTGGTCGTGACTTCGATGCGGAATGGCATCGGGACGGTTTCGTCCACAGGATCGAATCCGTCGCGCGTCGGGTCGTGGCTTTGAATTCTGCGCATGTCTCGCCGTGTTCGAAACCGATGGATCGTGTCTTCCAACTAGACCAATTGACATGGAAATCGATACGTGAAGCGCGTTGGACTGATTGTGGAAATGACAGCCACACGATATATAGTATGACGTACGCTTTGCTCGTTGATTTCACACGAGCCTGGAAATGTGTCGTGGATGTGCTTTTGCGATGCCGACAAGTGCTTGTGCCGCGACGGCGGCCGCCGTTTGAGGGGCGCGGGGCGACGACCTTTCTCCGGGGGATGGTCAAAGTCGTCGTTGTCGTCATCCGAGACCTGGTCCACCAAATGCGTTGGGAACGCGTGGCACTGCCTGGACGGAGGGCGATCAAAGATCTACAATCGAAAAAGAATGCCGAATTGGCATAAGAGACCTAAGAACTTTGAATGGACAGCATAGGTGTGTGAACAGCGTTTTAGTACATACGTCGTCGTCGTCGACTGCTGTACGCGACCCACGGCAGCTTCCAGCGCTCAGGTTGCCTCGATGGTTGTTGGAGTTGGCCCGGCTACTTTTGGTTGGAATTGGCTGGCGTGGCGGGGGCGTCACGTACTTGTTCAAGTCGATTTCGTTGATGTCGTAGTCGTACACGTCCGTGGTGTCATCGTTGTTGTCCTTGTGGAACGAGCTTGCGTGGAATGGAAACGACGCCAGGATAGAGTTGTCCGAGGCAACGCCCCCGTCGTCCCATTGTGAGAACGACGCCGAATTGTATCGATGGCGCGGCTGCTGTCGTGGGGGGGCATGGTGCTGCTGCTGCCCCCCTCCAACGCCCGCCTTTTGTCGAATGGACGCATTGGGTCGTGGACCAGTGTACAACTCGACACGATCGTCGTCAAAGTCGAGGCCGGACGACGGCACGGTTGTGTCGACTGCAAAGGACTGCTTTTGCCGACGACTCTGCCGCGACGACTTTCTCGAAGACGACGCCTTGCCGTCACAAAAGGCAAACGAATGACTCGGATGTTTAGCATAGGAGGGTTCCGACGGCGCGTCGAATATGTCAACAGGCATGACGGCGACTCTGTGCAACCTTTCTTGGGTGAGGTCGGATGGCTAATTTTAGCTGCGATCCTTGAAACGGTAACATCAGACTCACTTCATAACCATACCACGAATCCTTTGTATTACTAGTACTGCGTACGAAGGACTACTGTTCATATGACAACGGTCTAGCGCGATCACAAGTGCATGCGGAACAACCTGTAGGCTGGTCGGACTTTATTGGTATACAGTACCTGGTATCCCAGCTGTGGCAAATGAACTGCAGTATTGGACATGGCCATTGGCAATCCTAATTGGTCAATTCATGAAACGGATGCGACACTGATTGGACATAAACGCGTTGCCCATGTGCCAACTGAAGGACATCGACATGCTTGTGACGCAACACAGCACCCAGGAGCAAATGAATATTTGTTGCCAAGGAGAAGGCCACATTCGAGGTTGAAAGCTTGAAGGAAAGCTCACTTCACGTTCATTAATCCTTGATGTCATGATGTTCAGTCAATCGTCACCACGCTCTATGCCACAATCGACCTGTCGCAACAACAATAGGAACCTGCTCCTTGCAGTTAAGAGCTGCAGGGCTAAGTTACTTAGAACTTCGAAGTACAACGTAGTGCAATACTTTGAATTAGCTAGAAGCCATCAGTCCATCCCACGTGTAAACTAACTTTATCAAGCTTTTCGAGTGATCTACGAAAGCGCATCAGAGGTGAATTTGGTGACACTCCAGCTCCAAATGAGCAAGCTGGAGTGGAGCGAACGATCGTGACTAGAAACGTTCACCGATAAGTCCCAAGAGTTCACGAGAAAACTCACCGCCGCTGAGGACTCGACGCCCGACAGCGCACACATAAACCGGTTCCTGTGCCTTCGCACCCCACGCTTTGCCAACATGTACATCACCCGAGAGCGACGGAACAGAAACGCGTACAAAACACCACCCTCGATCCTAGCCGAACTCAAGTTAGACGATGAGAGACGAAACCTGGCTTTACTATTAATAGAGGCGACAATAACTTACTACGTACTGGTAGTACAATATGTTCAGTGTCCAGTAACTGTGAGCTTAGGTTATTACACTGTACATGTGGTGACGGTTTGATGGTGCTGGACCAGCAACAGTCACGATGCCTGTTGGCCAATGATGGCCCTCAGTTTCTACTCTCCCATACAATTTCCTGTACTAGTCTGATTGAGTGTGAGAGCGTGTGATCCACTCTCATCGTAGCCAATCCAATGTCGCCTTCCATTACAAAAAGCCAATGAAAGGCCAGCGTTTTGCAGCATCGAACCAGGCCGTTTGCCGAGGAGTGACATTCACGAGGTTAACTTGCTTTGCTCGAATCCAACAGTGACGACCATGCCACCGGTCGACACCCCCGCCAAGCCTGCCATCGAAGACGACTACGGCATCATGGAGGCATGCAAGCAGGTCTTCCGCGTGCCGTCGTTCACGTTGGAGAGCGGCGTGACGCTGGATGACGTGCATGTCAACTACAAAACGTTTGGCGTGCTCAACGCCGCCAAGGACAACGTCCTCTTTGTGTGCCACGCGCTCACGGGCAACGCCGCATTGGACACATGGTGGGGCGGGTTGCTCGGCGACGGGAAGCCCTTCGACACGTCCAAGTACTTGGTCGTGTGCGCCAACATTTTGGGCTCGTGCTACGGCACCACGGGCCCGACCTCAATCAACCCCCACACCGGAAAGCGATACGGCGGGTCGTTTCCTGACGTGACCGTTCGAGACACAGTGCGCCTGCACATTCGACTAGTCGTCGACGAGATCGGCGCGTCGGAGGTCTGTCTCCTGTCTGCCTTGGGGTTATCTCCATTATCTCAAGTTGGCCAACTGTAGGTTGCATGTGTCGTGGGCGGGTCCTTGGGCGGTATGCAAACCCTTGAGTGGGGATTTTTGGGTCAAGGGCTGGTCCAGAAGATTGCCGTCATTGCGTGCGGCGCCCAGCACTCGGGGTGGCAAATCGGAATCAGCGAAGTCCAGCGCCAAGCCATCTACAGAGTACACCTAGAAAAAATGTCTCATCGTTGTTATATTGTCCTTTTACTCAACATTTGGACTTTTGTGCTGAGTTTCCAAATCTATCAATCTATTTTTTGTGCTGAATTTTGTATGGAAAAAGGGAGGACGTGTCGTGCTTGGAATCACCGAATTAGGCCTCACACTAATTCGATGTTTCCTGCAATCTGATTGGCTCAATACGATTTCTGCCGAAATATACTATAGATTTATGTGTCGATTCATTTTCTCCGAGTCACTCCAGTTTAGAATAATATGTTGCAACTATAACGGTAGGACCCAAACTACCGCCATGGAGACTACGACGACGCGGCGCCTCCACATAGCGGACTCGCCCTCGCGCGGCAGATCGCCATGATCAGCTACCGCACGCACGATGTGTACACGGATAAATTTGGCCGACACACCCAAGTCGACGACGATGCCGCCGGAGTGTTTACAGTTCAGTCGTACTTGGACTACCAAGGGCGCAAGTTCCTCACTCGCTTCGACGCCAACGCATATATTGCCATCACCAAGATGATGGACACACACGACATTGGCCGGGGTCGCGGCGGTTCGTGTTTGCTCCGTATTACGTGGCAGCCCGCCCCGTTGACCGTGTTTTTGTCGTAGGGGTCGAGGCGGCGTGCCGGCAGCTCGAGGCGCTGCCGATCCTGATCGCCGGTATCGAATCGGATTTGGTGTACCCCCTCAGCGAACAAGCCCAGCTACACGCGTACTTGCCGCACTCGGTGTTCCACTCAATTCAATCGCCCCATGGCCACGATGGGTTTTTACTGGAGCAGGACATCGTGGGGAAGGCACTGACGGCATTTTTGGAGTAAGTTTTGAAGCGGACTTGGTGCACGTCTGACAAGAACCCAACGAGACGACGGAAGATATATATTTGTTCTCTCGTTGGCTTCGTCAAGTCACTTTGACGTTGCCGCAGTGGTCGGTTGAGAAAGGGTTTAACCTACAATAACACCAAACATGTACACACAGTGTAACTACCCAGAATTATTCAGCGTCAACAGCACTAACTTACCCTTGTCACTTTACTGGTCAAGTGAACAACATTATGACTTTGGCAAATGTGAAGATCTCTAGTTAGATATTACTACGTACTACGAAGTAGTACGTTACATATGTATTAGTAAGTAGTACACTACTAGTAACATGTTATAAGAGCATCTCCAACTTAGAACCGAATCTTTCACCCGCCTTGAGGATTGCATTATAGCCAAAGGGGGCCTTTTTGTGTTGTGATCGAAGTTCGAGTGAATTCTCATGGACAGTGAGAATGTTCTGGATGCCACCCCATAAAATTATGCCATAAACCGTTTTGGCAAGTTCGCAAAATTTTCCCAAAGTCTCATATCAGAAAGAAGTATCTACAAAGTTGTCTGGATGCTAGTTGAATTATGGAGAAAATTAGTCGATTTCTGATTGAAGTGCAAGACTTCAACATGTATAATACACAAACCTTCATAAAACACCCAATTCTCAAGAAAATTGTGGTACTGTATATTGTTTTGAAGTTTGGAGGCATCGAGACTCACAAAATCTCGAAAAATGGAATATTTTGATTTTGGCGACTTTTCTTCGAAAAACGGTCGTTTTATGCCAATTTTTGTGCCATCCAGACCCGGCCTAACAGTATAAATCTCTGCAAGCAAGATTTGATAAAGATTTGTTGAAATACGGCGTTTTGGGCCTGACAGTGAATATTGCAATATTTCCGGTTCCTTATTACTGTTTTCTGACAGAAAAAAGTTTGAACTGCATTTGTCCAATTTTTACGTAACGTTATATCTTATTCGATCGATAGTTCTCCTTCCATCGTGACATCCAGTGGTCACATCAAAACAATTTGAAAATATTTTCTCACCTCCCATTTGAAAAGGGAATTCTTTGTCAGAATACTATTTGACAAAAATTTCTGTGGCTTCCAGACTCATCCTACCGGTAGTACCGGTAGTATTATGTACTAGTATTCGATTCGAAGTTGGAGTGGCAGGCCAAACGCAGACAATCGACTAGCCAATGAAATTGCTTCAATCCTAAATTCCAACCAATGGTAGTCCGGCCAATGCTTTGGCGCATTTGTCCTAACGTTAGTTGAACTATTTATATTCAATTTTCGTATGGTATACTTCCTCTGTTCCATATTAGTTGCGACATTTTACTTCCGGTCGCCCCCAAAAATTGAATTCTTGTCCAAATTCGATGCATGATATCACGTTCAAACGAGAATCAAAATCTACAGGTATGCCCTATTGACTGCAAAGCTCGGAAAGCAAATTTTGGCGCTCAATTTTCACTTCGCCATCGGGTCTCCGAATAAAAATTCAAAATACGATTTTCACAATTAAATTTTCCGGGACCTGAACACGTCGAGCACCATGGCGCGCCAATCCACCGGAAGAGAGCTCTCACACGCCAAGAAGATGGAGGTGATCCGTTGCTTGCATACCCTGTCGACCAAGGGCAAACTTGCCCGCGGGGCAATCCTCACCACGGCCTCCGAGCACGAAATCCACCGGACCACCATATCGCGCATCTGGAAGGCCTTTCAACGAAACGAATTGCTACCATCGTTGAAAGCTGGCCGTGTAGGCCACTCGCCGGTATACACGGCACACCTCGTCGCCAGCACCGTCCGCGAACTACCCCAGTCACTCCGCTCGACGATGCGCGACATTTCCGAGGCCACTGGAATTCCTCTTGGATCCTTGCACCGAGCGCTCAAGGTTGGAACGCTCCATCGACGCACCACTCGCATAAAGCCTCTGCTGACGGACGAAAACAAGGCGAAGCGTCTAGAATTTTGCCGAAACCCCGACATTCGATGGCATGTGGGATGTCGTTCACCTTGACGAAAAGTGGTTCAACGCTGACAAGAACGTCCGCAAGGTGTGTCTGGCGGAAGGTGAAGAGCCTGAGCAGCGCGCATGGTCAAGCAAGCGCTTCATCCCAAAAGTGATGTTCCTCGCGGCCGTGGCACGCCCTAGACATGACTTGGAGCGTGGTGTCGACTTTGATGGGAAGATTGGCATCTGGCCGTTCGTGCAGTACCAACATGCTCAGCGGAGCTCGCGCAACCGTCGAGCGGGAACTCTTGTGGCAACGTGGGTGAACGTTGATGCACCCATGTACCGGGACTACGTGCTCACGCGAGTCATTCCAGCTATCAAGGCAACGTTCGCTACCATCAACAAGCGCGTAGTTCTCCAGCACGACAATGCAACGCCACATGGAGGCATAACCGACGCTGACCTTGTGCCGGTCTCCACGGATGGGTGCGCGTTTGTCGTTCGCTGCCAGCCACCAAACAGCCCAGATCTCAATGTGTTGGATCTGGGCTTCTTTGCGTCAATCCAAGCTTTGCAGTACAAATTGGTTAGTCTGTGGAAGATGTTATTCGTGCTACGCTCGCTGCGTTTGACCAGAGTTGCGGAGAGGCTCTGGACAAAGTGTTTCTTACCTTGCAAGCGGTGATGCGCCTTGTTTTGGAGAACAATGGTGGCAACCACTTCCGCCTGCCGCACTTGCGCAAGGATGCGCTGCGTCGTGCCAAAGCGCTCATGCCGAATGTCTCGTGCCTTGCATCTCTTTTGGGTTAAGCAGCCACTCAGGTTTTTAACCAATAACACGCAAGTTACTGCATCTCTGACCAATCGGATTGAAATGTCGCAAGTAATTTGGAAAAAGTGTGATTTTCAAATGTCACCGGTATATTGGAACAGAGGAAGTACAGGGTATACAAATATCCAGTTCAAATTTGGGTGAAAAGTACAATACATGACCGCAGAACACGTTGTTACATGTTAAATTCACATGTCAGTGCGAAAAATGGATCATGGATCTGGCAAATCAGCATCAAATTTTGGCTGCAAGGACAATATGTATGGCTCTGCTGAAATAGCAGCCGACCTCGGAGCATCACCACCGAATGCGACTCGCCAAACCCTTCGCCGTGTACAAATTACACCCCCTATCAAAATATGGATTGTCAAAGCAATATTTGGACTTACGAGTAGAGTTTAAGGACTTTGACAAGTGTATTTGAGAATGTCCTGGTCTGGATGGCACAAAAATTGGCATAAAACGGCCGTTTTTCGAAGAAAAGTCGCCAAAATCAAAATATTCCATTTTTGGAGATTTTGTGTGTCTGGATTCTTCAAAAAAATATACCACAATTTTCTTAAGAATTGGGTGTGTTATGGAGGTTTGTATTGATATTGAGACTTGCACTTCAATCGGAAATCGAATAATTTTCTCCATAATTCAACTGACGTCCAGACAACTTTGTAGATACACTTCTTTTTCCTGTATCACTGGATATGAGACTGTGGGAAATTTTTGCACACTTGCCAAAACGGTTTATGGCATAATTTTATGCGGTGGCATTCACAGCCCTTACAAATCCAGTAATACACTGTACCACTTGGGATTTACTCGGTGAAGAGGTCCAAAACGCCATAGTACAAAATGGACCTTTTACCTCCGTTTTGAAAATGGCATTTTGGTTAATTCCATTTTGCGAGAAAATGGAATATTGGTTTTGAAATGTTACCCTATTTATAGGGCCATCTGGCAACATCCGCATTATGCCATTTTGGGCTGGGTTTTGCCATTTTAGACCCAAAAACTCCAATTTAGGGCAAAATGACATTTGGAGAAATTTACTTGGTGCGTTTGGGAAAAGTTGGGAGATACTTTTTCTTTTGACATTTTGGCCTCATATGGCGTTTAAAAAAAAATAGGTCGAGGGTTCTTTTTTCGAAATGACATTTTGTGTGATTCGGGAGGCAACTTTAAGTGTCCGTCATGCCATCCCTATGCTCTCATGGGCCCACTGAGCCTCCAACATTTAAGGATCACATTTCCTGCATAGCTCAATCGGTCAGTGCTCAACATACACGTAACACTCCTCGCTCGCGCGACCAATTTCTGCTAAACCAATGTAATGCTACAGTTATCGAAGAAGGTTTGATAGTCCTATGAGTAGGTATGATAGGAGCTTCGACAACTACAGGGTGGAAGAGGTGTCGAAGGATGCAGGAGGATACTGTAAGTAGTGCGGAGAGGAACTCATATGAATGTGGCTACAGTACGTACTTGGTAGTCTCTGCTTGCATATCTCGCATCCAAGCAGCAATAATGATTCAACCTCCCGTGTTCTAACTTTTTGTGATTCTGCAATGAGAAATTTCGATCTGCCGCGTCTGGCAAACTCGGTGCTACCGATACTGTAATTGGGCTTTGGCCCATTTTGACCTTTTCAAAACAAACTTAATATTTCATCTCGCAAAAGGCCGTTTTCTTTCCATAATTTGCCAGACGGGCCCTGAAAACTCAATAGTGCTAGGCGCGAGAGACAAACATCGTCTCAAGAACGGCAAATGATGCGGCGGTACCGCAAGCGGCTAGTGGAATCGGGCGTGTTCTTAACAGACCAAGTCTAACCGCTGGATCGTGGCGCAACGTCAGTTTACCCGTCCATTGGGCGCCCCAGCGGTGCGGGGAGCTGACTGGATCACGCAGGATCTGTACCCATAACACCGACCACACGCTGCGTTTCCCTCCAATGATGTGGAGTTTGCCGATTTCTACATTGACGGGTCCAAAACCCAGACTGCTTTCAGTTCATTTGGCGATCCCAGCGCACGAATCCGGCGTCCTCGAAGTGTACACCCGGCCAAAAAGCTTTGCCGAACAAGTGCGGGGCAGCTAGCCCCCCATCAAGCTCTGGTTACGTGAGACCAAGCCGTAAAAAGTTGTTTGTCCCAACAATGATTACAATGTTTGTCGCAATGCCGATTGTGTTTGTCCAAGCGATTACTACGTTTATCCCAATCGATTGTAAACTAGTACCGGTACGACTAGTTCATGCGACGGCGGGTCCTCGTCTTTGTCCGTTGTGACAACGCCTCGTCGTCGTGGATGTTTTGCGCGATAAACACACATCGATGTGGCTCATGGAATTCCCGGCATAAAAAGCTCACCAACGTCTGGTGATGGAGCAAGTTGTGTCACGGCGTCTACATGTACAGTGTACGTAGCCCTTGCAACAGCAACTAGACAAGTTCCATACTGTAGTGCGACGTGTCGAAGATACACAATGTTCCTAACGTAAAAAACCAGTTAACCAATTTAGGATACCTCTGATAGTGAATTGCCCAATCACACCTCTCGTTATTTGTTGTAGTCAAAACCTCTGTCATATAATGCCAACCCTTCCGTCACGTTGATGAAATGCCAATTCAGCGTAGAAACCGTTGATTATAGTCATTCAAGATTGGTTTTGAAGTACCCTTGTCGACACCGGCCACATTGGGTTGGATCTGAGGTTGTGTCGAGTACAATGTAATAAACTGAGTGAACATTATTTTCACTCCTGAAGTAAAGCTCTCGAAACCTATAACCTCGTGTAAATGCTATTTAACCAGTTGTAGCTGCTTACCCTACCGTAACTGTAAGCACAAAATTTCAATGCTTTCACACATACATCCTTCAAGATAAAAAGAGTTATCCTAAATTGGTTTTGGGGTTTCGTACTTCGAAGTACCGGTAGTAATTATGACGAGAAAGCGATACGTCTTGTCATTTGGAAACAAACACTACTCCCTCATGTTCAGAACTAAAATATCGTAACGGACTAACGCCTCCAAAAAAAGTTTTAAACTGGTCTTTTGCGTTATCGTCCATCCTAGCGAGTTAAATCTCGTCCATCCTAGCGGGTTAAATCTCGTCCATACTAGCTGGTTAAAACCGTCCATCCTAGCGGGTTACATCTCGTCTATCCTAGCCGGTTAAATCCTAGCATCCTAGCCAGTTAAGGCTTTTGGGAGGCTGGTGCTGGACCGAATCAGGCCCACAGCGCAAGAGAGTGTATCAATTCTCAAGCATTTGTACGACAGGGGGTTCGTGAGCTTGGTTGACGAGGCGGCGGGATGGGGGGTCGACGTCTTCAGTACCCGCCCGACATGCAGCAGCAAATGTTGCCCGCCTAGAGAGGCAACAGAACGGCGAGCCATTGTCACAGCAGGTGGGGGGTCATACTGGTACCGGTATTGGAGGGGTAACAACATACTTTGAAGTATAATTATTGATGCAAATTGACATTGTTGGAATGCCAAAAGCGCGGCGCATATACTGCTACAGCCCAGAGGAACGACGATGCGGCGTGCATGTTGCCGCCCTCCCATTGGCCTCCCAGAGAAGCTCTTCTTCTTCGCCATCATCCATCCCATTTGTTCAATGCAGAAATTGGACGATTTGCATTTGCACGATGTTTCTAGCAAGTTCTTCTCATGGAGAAATCTTGTCAAAGATGCATGAGTAACGTTACAATACCATTAGTTTTCAATTGACAGTGTGGGCTAAAGCAGGTACAATACAGTGGCTTTAGGTTTAAATTGACGTCTCCTTTCTTCCTAACCTCGGCAACATCGAGCCTTTCAATAGTGGTTCCACGTCATGGTCGGTACCTGGCATACACCGAAACATCCGACGAGTTTTTCCCACAGCGAAATACTATTGATGTTCATTACTCATTACTGTATTGCTCCTGCGAGGCATTCCCCAATTAAAGCAGTCCCACTGTTATTGTGATCCGAAGTACTCGTTCCATGAGGGAATCATGCCGTCTGGATACACTTTACTACTGAGATATAATGCTAAATCCCCGGGGTTAATTGCATCACGAGTGGTTAGCCATCGCTAACCACTGAAATGCTCTTCGCCACTAGTAAGAGGAGAGGTGGTCAGATGGATACTACGTCCCCCATGTTCTAGAACTGGAGTAAACACCAAGTTCTCAGAGAAGAATCAGTGAAACTGTTATACAAGTAATGGTAGCTGCATCAGCAGTATTCCCTGTTAATCAGGGATTTGTACTGATGCAGCTACCATTACTGTCCAGTAAGCTAACGTAAAGTACTGCCGCATCACAGACGAATCTACATTTGGACACGACGAAGTCAAATGACGTTTGACTGATCCATGGTCGTCAGGATACACCTACCCTCACGGACCATACAAACCGTCATACACTCGTCATACATGCCACTGTGCTTCACCTATAAATAAATAAATATACACACACCCACACCCAAGCCCAATCGAATTGCCACCCATGGTGCGAGTACTGTATTGATAGGCCAGTGTCATGCCAACGTCGATGGTGCATTGCGACGCTGCGCGGCCTGCTGCTGCTGCCGCTGCCACCACAGCCCCGCCCTTCGACCCCAAAGCCGAGCGACGCATGAAAGAGCGGCAAAAGATGCAGCGGTACCGCCAACGACTGGCCGCCAAGGTCGTGTACTTGAAGGACTTGACAAAGAAAATGGAGTCCCAGATCCGAGTGTATACTCTCCAGCGGCGATCGAGTCGAACGTTGTTGGCATGGGAGCACATTGCATGCGCTCTGCGAGAAGAGAGCGACGCCACGACCACAACCAACGCAGCGCTGAGAGACCAGTGCACGCAACATGCGACGTTAATCCGATCCATGAAGCAGTGGGTGATGCAAGTCGCCGGTACCTCTGCCGACAGCGTACCCGTACGGCGCTATCGATTATCATCTCGTCGATTTTACGACGCACATGTTTGTAGGTGTCTCCCACGTGCATGTCGAGGCGACCACTGCAAAACCTGACGCTGAGTGCCGACCCATATGCTCGCCGCCTGGGCTTTGACTGGATCACTAGGCATCTGTACCACAACTGCGACAGCGCGTTTCAGCGCATGGGGTTCCCGGCTTCTGCCAATGAGACGCTGGCGTCGTTCTCCGTCGACATGACCGATCCAGATTGTTGCATGTACACGTGGCGCAGTCAGCGAGAGTTCCCTGCGTCCGTTGAGTACGTGCGCGATGTGTTCGCCCGGCCCAACCTCGTCGGGCAGATGCACGGCACGTTCAGACGGCAGTCAACGTTGCTGCAGTTACCCGAGACACTGGACAGCCTCGTGATAAGCCAAGACGACGAGGTCGGTCGGTGTACATCAAGTTTCAGCGTAATCACGAGTGTATACCGTAGATTTTACGAGACTTTCAAGGCATGTACACCCACTCCCAGTGGACCCCCGACTGCTTCGTCCACTTTCTCGCCCGAGAGTTCAACCAACCCGGCCGCTGTGTGTTTGTTGCTCAAAACATCAACGACGACGCGGCCTTGGTGAACGGCCTACTCCAACGGAATCGCATGATGTGGTATGAACCTGATATCATGATTCGTCGATACGTGTTGGGATGATACTAGCTGAAGGATTGGTTTTCGTGTTTCAAAGTATGACACAGATGGCGGTAGGATTGCACTGGACCGCGTGGCTCCCGACCGCACGTGCGTCCGAGCCATGTGCATCAACTCTCACGGGTTTATCCAGGGGGGTGGCTACAGCAGCTTCGAGGAAGAGGCCCTGCGATGGGGTTGCGACGTGTCGGCTCTCCCGACGGACGACCAGCGCCATCAACACTTTGAACGGCATGTGCTGAACGTGGGAGGCCGCAACGGCAACTCGTTTGTCGAAGATTTTGACTGCAGAGTCAACACCATGCGATACGGTGATTCTCGCGTATCGACGCATGGACTTGGTTTGTGCAACCATCCTCACCCCAAGACCGAATAAAACACAGCAATAAGCACGTGATGTATATCCTTACTGGAGGCTGCGGGAAATGATCAACTTTACAATCCTCAAACGATATGGCATTACATTCTTCATCATCGTCATACAACACGCTAGAATGAAATCGAGTTAAGCCTGAGGAAGAAAGCAGTGGTGCACTGCTTTTAATATCCATTTTGAAGGATTTCCATCGCTCTCAATCGATTGCGCTGAGTTGCTGGACTCCACACAAAACGGTTGCATAACTATTAAAAATATGACATTTCAATGTTAGGAAATTATAACATATCAATGTATGCTATAAATTATAGCTCAAGATGAGAATAATTGTTTGTTTGTCATCTTCACGCTACATTTGGAGTTTACGCCAAAATGTTGTCTTTAGTGTGCTGCTTCGTGGCTCAGAGATCGCCGATCAATGCAAGAACATGGTAGTGTGTACAGCAGCATCGATACTACGTTAATGAAGTATCATGGACTGCTTTACGATGCTTATTGCAGGATATAATCATACGCAAAGTAACGTTAAGCTATATTTCAGTTTTTTGGCATGTTTGAGGTCACTTCACGCATGCTAAATAATTGCAATCGGCGCACATCACGTCTTATTTAGTAGCCCGTAACCATGGCTTCAGTTTTCATATTAAATGTATCAAGCCCAGACATGCCGTTGCTGGGCAGTTCAACGACAAAGTCATGTACATGTACTTTCTCGATAGTTAACATTGTCATAAATTATGACAAACATTGAAGTTAACGTGATGCTATATTTCGATGTTATCTTTTTAAATTATGACATACTTATTTATATTCAAAAAACCTAACGGTATTCTCGTGGAATGCAGTGGATACTTTTCCAAAGGGCATCTTAACTGGCGGCCAAATTTGAAGGCCATACGTATACGTTTTGAACAGTGGAATCCAATACAAACAAGTCGCCTTGCACCAAAACTAGTCTCCTTCGTCTAGACATACGTTCATCCTCGCTTATGTCGCCGAGGATGGCTACTGTATGTCCGTCATTTCCCGCAGCCCCCTGTATGTTGCTAGTTATCGAAGGAAATCAGGCGAAAGTGATCGTTGCGCGATTGATTCCCTTCCAGATCTCATTTGTTCGGGGTCTTGCATGATGATGAATAAACCAAGGAGATCACGTAAGTGCTGTACGAGAATGGGAATTGTTTAATGTACTACTACTACGGCTCGTAACCACGAAGTGCGCGAGCTCCTGCATACTAGTATCCGCGACGAGTACTACGTAGTACTACGTAGTAGTAGTATTGTTATTTATATTAATTGTAGTACTACAGTAGTATACACTGTAGAACAACGTATACTAGTACTATTAATATTACTTCGAAGTACTACAGTACGTAGTTCTATTAATATACTGTATTCAAACATTCATAACGCCATACTCTATAAATACAGTACACCGTTGTCCGTAGCTATTAATAGTGTGGGCACTTAATTAATGTGGCTTCCTTATTAGTGTAGGCTACATTATTAATAGATTAATAGGGAGTGCTCCTCTATGGCGACCTTCAAATACATGGAAATATAGCGTATTTGGTGAAGTCTCCACTTCGTAGCTGATACCGGTATGGTGCAAGTCATCTAAAGACTACAGATCGGCCATCCTCAGGAGGAGACGTTTTACTATTAAACGCCTCGGTTCTTTCAGTTAAACCCACTAAATATTGACGTTAAATCATTATTAGTTACGTTTTTTACCTGGTAATTAGATTAAACATTGTGAATAATCCGGATACAATGAAAACGTTCGTATGGATAAGTGCTGTATACAAAGACCAAGATATACTTGATACTCCTTTTCGGCCAAAATGTACCTGGTTCCATATATCTCCGTACAAGAAGGCCGGTTGGTTTAAATTTTATTACTCGATCAATTTTTCACCAATCGAAAATCTGAACCGTAACTTCTGTTGGGCTTGTCCAGTTCTATCGTTATTACGGTATGTATATCTATCTTCCTAAGTAATATCAATACAAAGTTGGAATAGCTGTCGAAAGTCAAGGCGTTTATTTGTAGTCTTTAGGTGACTTGCACCATATATATCCTCAGTATCGACGCAAAATGCACCAAATAGTCTACGCGTTGGAACTCAAGCACGTACGCATGTAGTGAATGCAACTGAAAACAATCGTTGGTCATAATTACTACCTGTAGTATTAGAGAATGTGGTGGATTTAAAGTCATTTTTGCCTACACTAATACTTCGGAGGTAATATGTAAGCTTACCTCGGAAGTAATATGTATATTTCAATAGTGCAGGCTACACTATTCATTTTATCCTATACTACGTAGTATATAATATTACCTGAAGGCTACACTATTCATGCGTTGGACCCCTCCAAATGTTGTTTCGCCAATAGTGTAGCCTCCTGTTAAGATACATTCTAAGAGCATCTCAACCGCGCGACTGTAATCACAACCGTAATTTTCTACTACTACCGTATACCTTATGGATCTGTACCCCCGAAAATGTCAGTAAAATCTGATCGAAATGGATACAACTCAATAACGTGGTCTGATTTCTTTCGAATGCGTTCGGATTGGTTACTTCAACTACTTCGACTTGTTTAATTGGCTAGAACGAGATAATTGGATAGTTTTGACCAATATAGCGGATTGGGAACAGGTAGTTTTGGACTCGGTGGCAGGTGACGTCATGTCGGCGTTGTTCAGGCCGGTTGAACAGTGCTGCACGAGATAATTGGATAGTTTTGACCAAGCGACTTGGGTACAGCCTTCCAAGGTACCACCAAATCGTACTTTATTGACACCATACAGCAATTTGGGTACAACTCGATAAGGCAAAATCATGGGTACTACTGATCCATAAGGTATACGGTAATACTACTATTCGAAGTTACGGATAATTTCTCTATTATCCGGTAATTTAGGTGATATTTGGTTTGCAGCGACACTTACAGTAAATTTTCTCGTTTTACGGTCGACAGTAAACGTAAACACCAAATTTCACGGATAACGTACATATATCCGAAATTATACCGGATACAACAAATGCTATCCGGGAAAACCGAAGTTTAATTTTAGTGCCAAATATACGGTTTTGTCGCCGTAGTGGAGATGCTCTAACTCCTGTGATGGCGGTTGATGCAAAGAGCATAAAGATATTACTCCATAACGTTAATAGAAGTATGTAGGCTGTGTATAAGAGCAAAATAATGTGATGTGGTATTCAGGACTCGGTCAATTTTAACATGTCCCACATCACCACTTGCCTACCAGCCCAATGAATGTGGTCAACCCTCATTCATCCATACAGCCCGTGACACCTCCTTGCCCGTGTGATCACGCGGTTGCGCAAGACGTCTTGGTGGTGGTACCCATCGCAAGTGCTGAAGTGGCAGCTTTCGCACTTGCGATGGGTGCTACCAAGACTACTTGCGACACTGCATTGCCCACCAGAGCCGCCACGGCATTGAGAACGACTTACTGTTAAATAGTCTCCAATCCACAGTTCCGATGTACTAGATACCAAAGTAATTCTAATCCCACGTAGAACATGTGAAATCGTCGACCAAAACATAACTTTTCCAGAGCCTTGACCTCTCCCCGGGACTTCGTCCTACCCCGAAGTGACCACGTGTGGTGCTTTGTTCCAGGGTTTGTAAGTAGCAAGTGGTTAGCGACAGCTAACCACTTGCAACACACACACCCCTCGTGGGAAGGAGTGTGGTACACCAAGATTCATTAGTACTACGTACAGTTTTAATAAGTAGTACCTTAATTATTTTATCGAGTACTTCTGATCTGAGGATTGGAGACTTTTTAGGCTATCCTACGGCATTGCGACCCAACCCACTGCACAACATATGGTTAGCTGTAAGGAAGAACCACATTGGAAATAGTCGGGGTGAACTCATCAGAGCACAATTCTCCACACACAAATACTCTGAGCTATATTATGGACCTAGATTCCGGACGTCCTGGAGGGGGGGAATAGCTCAGGGTTAAGGGAGTTGTATTAAAGAATTGGTTCGAATCCGAGTCCCGCCATTCTTTTCGACGAATTCAAAAACCGTCACACCTGAAAAGAAGGGTCTCTACAAATTGAAGCGTCCAAACAGTTGGTACAAAATTGTAGCCTCTGCTGCCATGTTATAGCCAATTGTGAAGGACTCTTATTGGATGGTACTTACAGTAAAAGGTTCGAATTCGCTATAAGTACGTCCGAAATTCGCGTGGTTTGTCTTAAGTACTTCGAAGTAATCAATATTGAATCACGCTGGAAGTTCTGATTGGCTGGCTATCCTTATCCTTTCTGTAAGAGCCAATCAAATCCACTCAAAATTGGATTAGCCAATAGCGTCGATTCGTGATTCGTTTCGGCGGCGTGATTTCGATTCGACAGGGTCTGGAAATTTGTACCGATAGCAAGGTGGCTCACCTTGCGAATTCCATTGACAAGTCAGTAACCTTACCACTACATTGATACTCGGAGTATTACTACGGATATTAATACTACTAGTACTACGTAGTACAGAGTACTAGTACTAGTGATACTCGGAGTAGTACTACGGATATTAATACTACTAGTACTACGTAGTACAGAGTACTAGTACTCCGTATACAAATGACTACGTATACAGTAGTACTACGGTACTACGTACTTCGAAGATTAATTGAGTTTGGATTATCATTTTTAAGACATTCCTCGCGAGGGCCGACACTAGAACCACATGTTATGGAACCGCTTCGCCAATTGTAACGCGGCTGCACGACCAGGGGCGGTGTGTAATCTTCGGTTTTTTTCTTCGCGCAACGCTTCATACCTCGTGCTTCGACCGATCTTCTTCGAAGTTCGGTCCTCGTTTTTGTACGCAGCCCTTGTTATCCGGATTCCCTAGGGGAGGGACGGATAAATCCTTACGGAAATAATCCGGGGAATCCGGGGATCGAACCCACGACCTTTGAGTTAAGAAACCGATGCTCTACCACCTGAGCTATCCCCCCCCCTACGTACTTCGAAGAGTAGGTATAGGTAGTGTACAATTTGTGTGAGGCATTGTGACCAACGCTCTGGAATTGTGGGTTATTTCGAGCACACAACACATATGGCGGCACACCTGCTTTGGCGATGGGTCACGCTTCTGCTGCTTCTTCCATTCCGCATTAACGCGCTGCACAGGCTTCAGTGGCGAACAAGGGATGACTGAAGGGGGGCGGCCGAAGACGGATCCGTCGCTGAAGAAGGCGAGGGAAAAGGCCAAGATGCAGCGCTATCGTAAGCGCCAAGCCGACTTGTACACGCAGCTGAACGTGGAGGCGTTCCACTTGGAGTCTCAAGTTATGCACCACGCAAATGCCGTCGCCCAGCGGCGCGTCCTGCGTCTGTCGGCAGTGTCGTCACTTCTACCGTGGAAGGAAGTGTTGGCGGCGATTCGAGATGACATGGACGAACTGACGACGGCCAACGACGCATTGAGGGCCCGCTCGCAGGCTGTGGAGAGGCTAGCCAAGGCCATGCAACGATGGGTGCACAACGCGCAGTACTTTCCATCCCCATCGTCATTGTCGTCGTCCCTGCACGCATCTGGAACGCTATGTCGAACGCCGTGGCGCCACGTCACGCTGGACGCCGCCCCGGCCACGAGAACGCTCGGGTTTGACTGGATCACGAAGAACCTGTGCCACAACCACGAGCTGGTGTTCCAGCAGTGTCATTTCCCGCCCATCACGTCGCCGGACCGCGTGGCCGACTTTGGCGTCGACACGACCGACGGCATGGAGCGGTTGCAGTATATTTGGCGGATTCAAGATGACGTGGCAGTCCCACTGAGCACAGTTCGGGATGCATTTGCCAGACCCCACTTTTTGTCCCAAGTGCTGGGCAAACACTTGACCAATACGAGCAGCGTCAGTCCACACATTTCCGCTGCCATGCAAGCTGATGAACACGTACGTTGGGGTCATATACATATATATATAGCAGGAATCTATACTATACTATTAATAGTACTACGTAAATTTAGTAGTATATTAATCAATGTACATATTGTATTCTAGCTTTTAAGTGATTTTGGAGGCCACGCGTGCTACTTTCATAGCCAGTGGGGGGCGACTTCGTGGGTGCATTTTCTCACGCGGGAGTTCCACCTAAGCGACGACCGGTGCCTCTTTGTAGCGCAGTGTATCCACGAGGACCCGCTGATGCCTGCGTCGCCGTACTCGCGCCATCGCATGATCTGGTATGAATAAGAAGATCAAGGATTGCTACACTGAAGTGTTTGCGTTTTGTATGCTATATTATCAACCTGGCTGTACACAAGAGTTGTTGTCGTCAAAGGGGGTTGATGACATGCGTTCGATTTGCGATAACTTAATGTAGGTTTGCATTGGATGAAATCACACCAGACACGACCAAGATACGCATGTTGTGTGTGAACGGGCGGTGCTTTAACATGAACAGCGGCCCGGTGCCTTTGGAGGACGAAGCGGCGCGATGGGGGGTTGACGTGGGTACGAGAGCCGGCGGGATGGCGACTTTGCCTGCAGAAGACGACGTGGGGGACAAGGAAGCGTGGATTCTCCAGCGCATCACGCAGGTGGCGTTGAAAAATGTGACATCGTTCCAGCGAGATCTATGTGCCATGCTCGCCACTCACTCGGCCCTTAGTTAGAAGAAACGAGATAACTTTAAGGGGTTTTAAGCCAAGTTTAGTTCTGTTGGATTGGACACAAAGATGCCATCACCTGAGGCTGATCAGAGGGTGTATGTCGTCTGCTACCAGTTGCCATAGCGGTGACCCTGACGGTCGCTGCTGCCACCAGCATATCCTAGTACGAATCCCATCCATAAGTCCATCAAATACAGTACTCCCTTGGACAAATTTAGTGTGTGAAGTTCGTGTGACACTGGTCGATTTTTACATCAAAAGTTAGTGTAGTGCAAGGAATGGATGGATAGATTTGGCGAATCAGCACAAAAGTCCAAATATTGGGTAAAAGGACAAATATATACGGGTATGTGCAGTACTCTGTCCGAAATACCTACAGTAGGTGTGCGGTGAAAATCATATAGGTACTGTACAGTGAACGGGGAAATTTAACCGTGTAAGCCACTCCTCGAATAAGCCACACCTCGAATCGAAGTAAATCATGTATTTGGAATATGATTGGAGGGCATACTACGAAGTTCGATGAATATTGATGTTGTTTTGACCAATGAATTTGTTTATGTGTGTTCTGCATGGTGATTGGCTTTAATATCTGATGAGTAATGGGTAACTTCTTTAAAATTCCCGTTCGCACTGTATACGAATACCTCCAGCACATTCGAAACGACGTCAAGAAAACTACGCAACAAGCCGTTTCACAGCCCCAGCGAAATTCGTCGGTCCGTGCTGCCTGTTAAGGGTCCATGTCGAATTCACTGGATGAGGGCTCTGTGGATGGCTTCACAGGCACGTCCGTGGTTTCCTGGCGATGCCAGAGATATACCGATATTCCTAGTAACACCTTCGACCACAAGGGATTGTATCGGGTCGACGTGGAAATGACTGATTCACCCACAACATGCTGTAGACCCAAATTAAATAAGGGAATTTTAGATAACCCAAACAGCCAATCAAAACGCACAACGCTTGCACAAATAAGTAGAGTCATTTGGATTGCCATTGCAAAAACCACGACACCTGTGTCAGCTAGGGTAAAGGCACTCCAATGGATAGCTATCGCTAACTACTTGGGTGACGCACTTAACCCCGGGAATAACAATATCCTTCGAAGAATGTGCCCACCGGGGGTACATGTAGGTCGCAGTCCAGACTAGAAGTTCCTCCTTTACATATGTGCTGTCGTCTTATCTAAGGAATTCCCCCCAGCAGGTGTATTTTGGGTCTAACAACAGCAGGGGTTATACCCTGCTGTTGGGAATTAGGCATTAGGATAATCCTACCGGTAGTACTAGTAGAGCTGGGCAAACGAAGAATCGGAGTTCATCATTAGGGGTACATAGCAAACCAGTGCGCTTAGTTCGTGATAGGATGAATTCGTTGGAGCAGCTTGCGTTTTCACAGCATGTGGCTACACTATCAAGGAAATTGCCCTATCCTTCGGGGTCTAAAGTAGGGTTTTTTCCCAATGTGCATCCAGGTTGGGTTGTGGACATGTGAATGAATCCCCCCTGAATTGGGTACATTGTTGGAAGTAGGATGGAGGACATCATGAAGACCGAAGGGTCGCACGACAACCAACGCATGACGACAGGAGGTCCTTTGGTCGACGAAGACGAAGCCAGAATCCTCCACAAGCGAAGGCTGACCCGGGAAAAGATGCAGCGGTACCGCAAGGGGATTGTCCGCAAGTCCAGTGCGCTCAAGCACCAAGCCGTGGACCTGCAGCGCGAAATCGAGCGTCTGCTTGCACGGCAGACGACAGACAAGTCGCCATGGCTGCTGTCGTGGGCGGATGTTGCACGGGCGTTACGCGACGACTCGGACGCGACCCGCAACACAAATGGGATCCTCAGGCAACTGGTCTTGCAACAGGACCGCGAGATCCGCACGATTCGAAGTTGGGTCCACGGGTGTCAGGTCTTACCGGTACAGCCCTTCTCCCCTCATGCTTCATGCTTGATCGCCTTACACCCCCGCGGCATCGTGTAGAATTCGAGCTGGCGCAACGTGTCGCTGCTCGAGCACCCACAAGCGCGCAAGCACGGCATCGACTGGATCACCCAACACTTGTACCACAACACCGATCGAGTGCTGGAACAGTACGCGTTTGCGGCAGTGGGGTCCGGCGTCCAGATCGACGACGACACCATCATCGACACGTCCAGTCCCGACTGCTTCCAGTACGTTTGGCGGGACCAGCGGGACATGGACGTTCCGTTCGACGTTGCCGCGCGCGCCCTCACCCTCGACTTCTTTCACAGCTTGCTCGCCCACGGCACACCCCTCGCTGCGATTCCCACGGACGTCGAGGTACTCCCGGCAGTCGAATCGAGAATCACGAATCGACGCTATTGGCTAATCCATTTTTGAGCTGGATTTGATTGGCTCTTACAGAAAGAACAAATATATTCAACCAATCAGAACTCCAGCGTGATTATTCCATGTTGATTAGACAAACCACGCGAATTAATTTTGCAGTCGTGTTTTTTTTGCTTCTTTTTTTTTGCTCTCGCTCGGTAGATGGAAAAATTGTAGGGTTGTGTTTTTTATTCTTTTTTTTTGTATCAATTTGTTTTTCACCAATGCGTGTATTGTTGTTGACTTGGTACGAATTTCCAGTCGATCACGACTCGCTCCCATTGGGCAATCTGAAAAGGCTTGTCGCTGATTGGCTATATAAGGACTTGGTGCTTTCTGCGGAATAATTGGAAATGCCCATGAAACTGGGTTTACGAATCTCTACAAAATTGGGAACATTTGTATTGTGGATTCGGTACAAATTTCCAACCCCCGTCGAATCGAATAATCTCGCCGCCGCATCGAATCACGAATCGACGCTATTGGCTAATCCATTTTGAGTGGATTTGATTGGCTCATCTTACAGAAAGAGCAAGTATATTCAACCAATTAGATCTCCAGTGTGATTCAATCTTGATTACACAAACCAGGTGAATTTTTTAAAAGTTTATAGCAAATTCATCATATCTGTAGACACTAAACGAGCTTGGCGGAACCTGTCGGTACAAGACGTCGGTGGGCAAATTCGAGCAAATGAACCACCTCTACAGAGTGTTTCAGTCAGCCACACGGATTGTCTACGTCGGTCAAAATATCCACCACGATCCCCTGTACATGGACCACGCCCGCGACAACTCGTCGAACCGCATGACCTGGTACAGTTGTAGCACTTGCATGCATGTATATATTGTGCTTTCGAGTGAAATTTCGAGTGAAATTTCGTGTTGTGGCGTGGTTTCTCGTTGGAATTTAAATCGATTTGATTGGCTACTTCAGATGAGCTCAAAATTAGTAGCCAATCAAAACCTAAAGAAAATAATTGAACCAATCAGATCGATTGTGGATTGGTTTGGTCGGCGCGATTCGATTGCGCCCCGTCCCCAAATTTGTATCAAATCGACAATATGTATTGTCGTTTGTTAAAAGGTCCGCCGGACCTGCGAAACGGAATATAAAACTAAGTTTCAGAGGTACCACTGTTCATTATAACATTGATTCTTTTGCGCCAATGAATCCATCCTACTGCTTTACTACTCGATGTGTTGGCGCTTTCAACACAATCGCCTACAATAATTAGCGTATAACATATTTGGGTGAACATCACAATACCATGTATTTTCTGACAAAAAGACGATACGTAGGGTGGTGCTGGACAAGGCGTCTGCCACGACCACGACGTTGCGGAAGCTCACGATTACATCTCAAGGCTTCCGCCGCCACGATGGGCGCATGATTCCTCTCGACGAAGAAGCCAGCCTGTGGGGGGTGGGCCTGTCGGCGATCGCCTCGCCCGACGCCCAGCTGGACTGGTTTGCGCACAAGGTCACCCAGCTGTGCAACATGTACGCGAACATGAATGGCGGCATGACCACGCGACTCGACAAGTACTTGGCCAACGTTCCGCATTGATTGCATTGCGGTTGCAACGTCGTAGTATTGGGCTCGTTCGAAAGTGTATGTATACGTGTAATAACGTTAGTATATTTGTGTTGATGCTAAACTGGTGCGACATGGAGAATGAAACCAAAGAAAATATGTACACAAGAAGCGACAGAAGGATTTAGCTAACCAGATTGCAGGAAACTATCATGAACGTCGAATTAGTGTGTGAATTCAAATCGTGTGACCCCCAGGACACCTTTTTACATACAAAATTCAGTACAAACAATCGATCGATTTGGCGAGTCACTGTCAGCACAGAAGTCCACGTTTTGGGTAAAAGGACAATACCTGATATCGTTCAATATTTTGGAGGTATACAGTATTCATAGTATACGTCTGCAAAAGGATCGACCTTCTTACGCTGACTACATACTCGTGACTACTCTGTGGAAAAAGACATGATTGGCAAGAAAACTCAAATTATTACTACTACTACGTAGTACTACGTGTTAATAGTACTGAAGTAGTTCTTCAATAGTATATACATGACCTGTACTATAGGAGCACCTCCAAATTTGCGCCTTCTACGTAGTACTGCTCGTCATCATGAACATGCATTAACACGACAGTTAGTATTACTTCGAAGTATTGTGGATTCGATACGAATTTCCAGACCTCGTCGAATCGAATCTCGCCGCCGAATCGAAACACGAATCGACGCTATTGGCTAATCCATTTTCAGTGGATTTGATTGGCTCTTCCATAAAGGACTAGTATATTCAACCAATCAGAACTCCGGCGTGATTCAATATCTATTCGAAACAAACCAGGAGAATTTTGGAAGTTCACAGCGAATTCACAATATACTGGTACACAGTTTACATGATATTGTGCTTTTCACTCGTTTTGGCTGTTCATACCATAAACCTGGGTGATTGTTACATCGACCCCAGTGTTTTAGGCCGTGTTCGGACGCACCAATAATCCGTTTATTTCCTGGATTCCGACTCTGAATCCGATTTTTTGTGTTCGATTGACAAAAATAAAAACCATCGATTTTTATGGTTTCTTGGGGGGATTGATTGGTATTCTGCTTTTCAGAAATACTTTGTATTAATATTTTCGGAGTTTGGGGTTTCCGGGGTTTCGGGATGTTTAATCTAATCTCCGAGTACTGACAGTGATGGAAGGACCGTCGCAGTCGTGACCACATGTGACCAAGTTGTCCATCGCATGGTCCTCCTTCACCAAGTATTTAACCAGGTAAGACAGTTATGACCGTACTCATCTTCGTGGAGATGTATTGTATTCCTGCAGCGCAGAATAGGCTCTGCACTCGCTGGGGCAAAAACTGATGTGTATGCATGCAACTGAGAAAAGCTATGTTAGATACACGCAGTTACATGTATTTCATCCTTGTACAAGTCAGTACAAAAGTTACTTGTATCTCATCCTTGCATAACTCAATGTGTTCGTCAAAAACCCCTACGAGGTCGCTGCAACAACTTTTCGACAGAATCCGGATTCAAAAACCTAGATTATCATAATCCGGATTCTGGAGTTAGAATCCACTTTTGCTCCGAACACGGCCTTATTAGATGATCCGTACCGTGATTTAGGATGTCATGGGAAGTCGTTTATGCAACTCCCTCGCTTTTGCACATTTGAAAAGTGCAAATCGAAGGTATAGTATCTGCTATTCTCGGGACCAAATTACACAATTGACTGGTCATCATGAACAACTTTTAAATGACACACAGCGAGGACATGCGCCAGAGTTCTATCGTACAGCGATGTACACGTACGATGCCACATCGTAGAAAACCACGCCATCTTCTTGTTCCATCGGGTAGTACATGCAGGTAGCATGCACTACGCGATGGAATAACAGCCAAGATGTTTTGGTCACTTCAGCATCGCATGTGATTATTATTGCTCAAGAGTTATTTGCCATTTATAAACCCCAGTGAATTACTACGGAGTATCTATTAATAATATTCAACCTTTATTAATAACACAGGTACAGCAGAATTACCACTCTTTTAGCCACGTTAGAGCCGACGCCAAAACAAGTGCACAGCACAATATACGTATAACGTTAGGTCTACGTCTTACTAGTAATCGTTGTGGCCCTCTGCAGTACGTATCATATCTTTGCGATCCACCGTTGTTTTGCCAGTGTTCCCCGCGCATTGCATCTGTTTCGCATCCACAGATGCTAGCATATCCGGCATTGCCCCGGAGGTCACGAGGCCAGGAATCATCGGTCTATCACCTTGTCGCAGGAACGGTATTCGGAGACGACGTTCGAACGGACTTGCAAAGAGTCAACACCTGGGATCCTGTTCATTTTCAAATTTGCCTCTCCCAAGCATGAAGCTCTTCCGCGCCATTGTCCTCCTGTCTCTCCTCGACTTGCTCGTGAACCAAACCACAGCGTCGCACCACCACCACAAGACGGCCAAGCCAGTCAAGGCTTATGCGGCCGAAGACTCGAGCGTGGATGATTATGTTGCCCAGGTGCGCGGCAGCATGTGCTTGCCCAACGTCACGTGCGGCTCGGACGGCAAGTCGTGCAAGACCGACTGCGAGTTCCGGGTGGCCCAGTGCAAGGATACGGACCTGAAGGAAGTCGAGAGCGACAAGTGCGGTGACTCCGACATGCTCAAGTTGACGCCGTACAACCCCAGAACCTTGGACTGGACACGATCATAGCCGCGTTTCCCGACGCAGAGGTCCTCGCCATGGCCTCGGTGATCAGGTATGTCAAGGACACGGTGGACGCCAAGCTCGAAGCATGGAAGGACCAGCTGGGCGCGGACGCCCCCAGCTCGACCATCGTGCCGTCGGTCCTCAAGTCCAAGGCGCTCAAGCTCGAAGGCAGCTCTCTCGAGATCCGTGGCCCCGTCGACCGCACCTTTGTCTGGATCCCTTAGCTCAAGGCCGTTGTCGACGGCGTATTGATGGTCAGCAACATCCACACCTTCGTCGCCGAACGCAAACGGCAAACACCCGAGTCTCGGGTCGAGTGGATCCGCGGCTTGGAACAGATCCAAGCGCTCAAGCCCTCGATCATTATTCCGGGCCACGCCCTTCCCGGCGATCTGACCGAAGACGAAGCACCCGCGTTCACGGCCGCGTACTTTCGCGAGTTTGAAGCCCAGATCCCGCTGGCCCGCAACAGCACGGATCTTATTGCGGCTATGAAGGTTTCCAAGACGAGTCCAGCCTCGAACTCAGTGCCCAGGTCATCAAGGGCGAAAGGAAGTGGTAGTTGAAATGCAATAGACGATTGTATATATAAATGTTTTTTGTGGGATTTGGATGACTCCCTTTCCGAGGCACCTGGTGCCTAAGCGGAGCGGACCGCCGTGAGGATGCCCGCAGGGCCGCATGCGGCTCGCCGCGTGTGGTCTTGTGTTACAAATCCTTTGAGCGCGCTGGTTCACGAACGACGGTCACCAGCACGTCAAGGCCGCCCTCCGCGCGCTCGGTTCAAGCCTGCTCCAGCGCTACGCGACCTGGTGGTCGACGACCGTCGAGGATATGAGGCACCGTCACGCGTCGTGCGTGGTATGGTCTGTGGATGCGCCGCCAACAAGCCTCCAGGAAGGTCCGCCTTTTCCAGGCCTCCCTTCCAGCCTTTGGTGATCCGGATACCGTCCGGATAACGCTTGGAGATTTTGGGGGTGAAGACTCAGCTCGCATACTGTCCACCTCGAGCAGGGTGACTCCTGGTGAGTGGGGATCAACAAAGGGTCGAATCTCGCGGTGCGGAACCCTCCCAACGACCAAGTGTTCAATTTCGACTCCCGCACTTCGGCACAGCGCCTACGTATGCGAAATCCTAGAGAGCTCTAACAAGAAGTCTAAGATAACGCGAAACACGTTTATATATATATTATATATATATATATAAATGTGTTTCTTTTTCCTGCAAGAAGGTGACTCCCTTTCCGTGGCACCTGTGTCTCAGCGGAGCGGCTCGCCGCGAGGAGGCCCACAGGGCCGCATGCGGCTTGCCGTGTGTGGTCTTGCGACTGTTCATTGTCTGGCACCCGTACTGGCCCACACTCCGTCGGGCGCTCGGTTCAAGACCGCTCCTCCTCTCTAAGACAACAGCGCTCCACGCGCGGCGCTCGACGAACGTCGAGGATATGAGGTGCCGTCTGGTCCTCGTCGTGCGCACTGCTGTACGCGTGGATATATCCGGACAACCGGCTTGGAGATCTTGCGGGCGAAGATACCTCTTGGAAGACCCAGCACTCCACTTTCCGACCGTCGGAAGGCCCTACACTCTTCTTTCCGACAGTTCCAAGCATCCAGGCTAGTGCGCTTGCGTGCGACGCCCCCGACGATCAAGTGTTTACCTAGACTCACGCCTCATGGCACAGCGTCATGCCCATGTATTACCTAAAAGTTACGTGTATATATATATATATATATATTTTATGTTTCATGCCGCACTTCGGCACAGCGCCTACGTATGCGAAGTCCTAGAGAGCTCTCAAAGTAATCTAAGATAACGCGAAACACGTGTGTATATATGTTTCATGGGAGACAGCGAATTCATAGTCAGCATTTACTATACAGGGTATCCGAACCCAACAATCAATGTAACCACTCCAGTAGAATCTGTGGTATATTCATGCCATCAAATTTATTAGCTGAATGCTAACAACTTTTCTTGCCGGGGTGGAGGCCCAATTGGCCCGGCGACGGCTCGCCCGTCACCTCCTTAAAGTA